CTAAGTCACACTTTTCTGTTTAATTTTAAATTTTTTTCATTTTTTGGCACCTAGTCACACCTAGGTGTGCCTTTTTCTTTTTTTCTCGATTTTTGATGCTTATTTTAAGCTTTTTTCCCCCCTTAATTATTATATAATTTTTTAAAATTTTAAAATAATATTAAAATAACAATTTATTTCCCCCCAACGCCGCTCTTTTTTCCATTAGGCCGTACCTTTTTGCCTTGGTGATTGTACCTCTTTTGGACTCTAGTCTAAAGAGTCAAACTTGCCTAGTGGTAATAATTTGCTTCGTGAAAATTAACAGTGAAATCGTGAAAAATAACAAATTCTTTTTTGGCTAAATTAAGCCAAGAATGAGTGGGATGTTTTTGAATTATAGAAGAGTCATTAACACACTTTTTGCACCATGTGCTTGAAGGATTAGTCTATATGTACAAAATTATGTACAAAATCAATTACAAATTTGACAAGTAGTGGCCCCTTGTCGGTGTAGTGGTGGTGGGACCAGCCGCCCCACTAGCAGGGAGCCACCACTTGTCAAGTTTGTCAAACTTTTAATAATTAATTTTGTAATTGTAGACTAATCCGTTCTTGAATTATAAAGGCAATGATCACGAATGAAGACACATAAGATATCGTGCATAAGTAATAATTATTTTTTGGGATCCACAACTGACAACTTTATAAGGTCTCATTTGATATACATTAATGTAAAAATGAGAATAAAAAATATAGTCGTCACGAATCCCACACATGCGATAGAAAGTCAAATATGGTGGATTGATGTAATAGATAACGTTCATATTTTTCATTTTAATTAATAAAAAATGGGAAATAAACGGGGGCTAAATCACATTTCATCAATTTTTATTAGGGATGACAATAATCCCGCCCAAGCGAGGCCTTGCCCCAAAATGGGGTGGAACGGGACAGGCCCTTCTCATGAAGAGAAAAAATTAAAAATAAAAAATAAAAAAAAAATAAACGGGACGGCAAATTGGGCAAGTCGCTGTCCCGCCCCGTTGCGATCATTATTTTTTATCAAAATTTACTAAAAATTTAAATTTTATTTAAATCAAATATGGTCTAATAATTATGATATATCATAACTGTATGTATTTTTGACTTTACTAAAATAAACAGAACTCTATAAACATTTTTGGTATGTGTTATGAAGGTGTGATACAGACAAAAGATCGTTGCAAAGTGGGGTGCGTACGAATTTGGTCAACTTCGATAAAATAAATCTTATGTTTTTCTTTACTTTTTCTTAAATACTTTTTAAGTTTTTTAGCCTAGTGAATATAATACTTTTTTTGAGTGAAACAAAACAAAATAAAATATGAATTTGTCTTTCTTTCTCAATATTTTTTTTATGGTAATTATATTTACATTAATATTTTATTAATCTCATCACATTTTTATTCTAATTAAAGTTTTCAATCTTTACTCATTTGTGCACTTATGTCCCTAAAAATTTTCATCTCATCTTATCCTCAAATTTCAAATTTTTTTAAGTAGCATATTGAAAGTTTAGAATACGAATGCGGCAAGAAAATTTTGTGCATAAAAATTGAGGACATAAGTTCAAAAATGAGCAAAGTCAAGAACTTTCATTAAACTTAAAATGTAGTGTCACATAGGCTCCAGTTTAAATGTAATGATCCTTTATTTTGTCCAACCAATATACCATACGACACATCATTTGATGATATTTGTAGCTAGTGATGAGTTTGTTGAAAAATCGACCTTCAATAGTGAATTTTTCGGGCTCAGTTTCACCAATTTCAACCTTATTAAACACACCCAAGTATGGCTCCAACCCAACAACGATTCTTACTTCGATTGCTTAACTCAATATGTTCACAAAGAACACAATATGGTGGGTGCAATGAATAACCAAAAATAGAGGAAGACAAGTTCAATTTCCAAGCTCAAGAGAGAAAACAAGAGAAAAGTTGGCCGCCTCTTTCTTCCAATTGCACACACACGGCTTATTCAACAATGAAGCCAATATATATAGTTTTAGGGTGTAATAGTAATGGAGTAATATAGTGGGCTCATGGATCAACTAATGGTTAAAGGGGCCAAAACACAAAAGTGAGCCATCCAAAAAGTAAATGGGTCGTGAGCAACATTAACTATATTAAGTTGCTTCGAACGACCCTCAAGTTGTTTTTCGGGTTGAGCCAATTAATCGAGTGTGTTAATAAATATTTCAATCATTGGCCGAAGTCTATGAAATCTAATCCGACTATCCGACACTGTTTAAAATCATCGTTGATGATTATTGGGTATCAAAAATCCAACAGAGTTTTTACTTAGAACTGTGAAAATTGCTCAATGAAACAAGTTCACGAAGGAATATCTCCACCCCATGTACGAATCATATTCTAAAAATAATTTTCATTCGGATTCTTTTACTTGACACAATAAAAAAGGCTTGAATGATGAGTGAATTAAGTTACGGTGGTGTTTTATAATTTACCTTCGACTTGTTGTTTGGTAATAACCATAAAGATCACATAGTTTTTATTGCACAATACCTAGATAAAATGCAGTTAATGCATAAAATAATTATTGCTTTTAAAGTAATTGGATATCTTCATATACTTCAATATATATACATATTGCTATTGCATATCCGTTAGATTTGTCATAATGAAAACTGAGATAAAATTCATTAAAGTGCATTTAGAAAAATTAAGAGCG